TAAAGATTTTATTTATTTATTTGAGAGAGAGAATGAGATAGAGAGAGCATGAGAGGGGGGAGGGTCAGAGAGAGAGGCAGACTCCCTGCTGAGCAGGGAGCCCGACATGGGACTCAATCCCGGGACTCCAGGATCATGACCTGAGCCGAAGGCAGTCGCTTAACCAACTGAGCCACCCAGGCGCCCAGGAAAGGACAATTCTGAAAGAAGAATAAGGTGCAGGTGGGGAATAAAGTCCATTCATAAAATACATACTCTGAGATATTTGTGGTTGCTAGAGTGGGCCAGAATTTGGACTCTGAGCTTAAGCAAAAGGAAACCTGAGCACTTATGAAAGTCATATGATAAGAGCCAATCAGTATTTCAAGAGAAGTCCTGGGACTGAGAGCAGAAAGAAGTTTCTCCCAAAGCTCTTCAGAAAGGGGGCACCAAGCAGGACTGTGGACAGGGCTGTCAACAGTGTCCTCACAACCAACTGAAACCAGAAGTTTTGCAAGGCCATTTGATAAAACACCCCTTCATGCTGGCCGTGCAGGTCATTCAAGGCCAGAATTAACTGCTTGAATCTAATGCAGCAAGAAAGGTTGAATGCACTTTTTATAAACTCTTGATTTTTGTCTGTTGCTAATTTAAAAATCCTGCCATCTCACTGGCTTCCAGGCTCATTTTAAATTAATTAACTCTGCTTGTTTGCCTGCAGATACAGGGTCTGCATTTTGTCTTTCCTGGAGCCATTTCTTATTCCTGGCAACCAACTTGTCATTTCCTTCATCAGGCTTGGGGCTCAGAAGAACAAATGCATTTGATTAAGGCACAAACGAGAAACTTTGGCTTGTCATCGTTATGTGCCTAGAGCAAGTTTACCTGCTATGGCCTGCTTTCCGAGTTGGGGGAGGGTCTCTACTCCTTCTGGAGCCTGGGCTTAGCCACAGGGGCCATCTCTGGCAGGATTACTGTTCCTGGATCTTACCCACTGACATGGAGACCTGGGAGGGACTATTTCCTGCAGATGGTCAGAAAAAGCACCTCTGTCCCCTTCTTCCCTTCTTCTCCATCCCGAGGCAGTGGAGAAATGCTGAACTAGCCATCTCTGCCCTAGGGCTGGTACCCAGGGAGCCTGCCTGACCTGTTCAGCAGGATCAGCTCTCACTGGCAAGTGGCCCCAAGCGAGCTATGGGTCGGGTCAGGATGGGGACCAACTTGGCAGGGAGCCATCAGGGTGGCCTCAGGGAGCTGTGAGGTTAGCGTGCCTGTTCCGGCAGGGCGGTCTGCACACTCCTGGTTGGCCCTGGAGCTTGTGACAGTCTGCAGGAGCTGGTGGCTGGGGAGGAGGGGTGCGCAACAGGCTGTGTGTGCGGTGCCCATGCTCTGTGCTGCTTTATGTTCTGCTTTCTCAACACGTTAGTCTTAAAGTCTGTGGGTAAATTTGGGACTGGGCTGTGTGTGTGTATGGGATGCATACATGTAATCCCCCCCTTAGCCACGGGACTGTCCAGATTCTGGGCCTCACGGAGCCCTCTGTGCACACAAACGGTGAGCAGGGGTGTGCACCCATGTGGGGTGCAGTGACCCAGCTGCCTATGCGGGCCCTCAGCCTGGGGACACGTGTGTGGGATCGTCACCTCCACGTGCTGTCCGTGGGGCTGTGAGCTCTCCTGCTTTGCCTCCTCCTCCCCCCGCTCCGGGTGCTGTGTGTATGTGTGCGGGGGGTGGGGGCTGGGGCTGTGCTCACGGCTGCTTGCTCTGTGGCCCTCACAGCCCGCGCGTCTGTGCTGTTCGTGTCTTCCTCCAGGGGGTTGCCGGGTGCGCGCAGCTGGTAGGGAGCTGGGGGACGCTGCACGTGCGGCTCTGCTCTGCCCTGCTGGGGACGCTCAGATGCATACCTTTGCTCCTGCTGTGCGCGCAGGCTGCCACGGGGCTGGTGCGGGCGGGGGTGCAGGCCGGCAGAGTCCTGGCTCGGGTGCGGGGTGTGGCGGCTGTCGCCCGGCTGTGTGCCCACATGCTCTTCCCGGGCATGTGCTTGTGCGTCCGCATCTGCTTTGCCGCCCTCAGCTCTAAGGTCCGCGTGCGAGTGCTTGCGCCTTTCTCCGTCTCACTGCCCTTCAGGCTCCAGGCTCCACGCTCCCCGGAGCCTAGGCGTCAAAGTGAGGCTGCCGGGCCAGAGGCGTGACAGGGCCAAGGGGGAGGTGGGTATACCTCAGGGGGAGATTTGGGAGGAGCAGGACCCCCAGATGCCCAGGAGCCCTGAGCCCACAGGGAGAAGGGAAGTGTCACAGAGCAGGAATGAGCTCAGTCCAGGTGGGTGAGTGAAGGGGCTGCTCCTTGCCCCTGGGACCTGTCCCCCAGCCTTGGGTGCTAGCATCTCCTTCTGGCTGCCAGGCCAGGCTTGGGGCCTGCTTCTCCTCTTACGATGCAGGAGGACAGTCTGTCCTCTTGCACCATTGAGCTTGTGCGGCTGCCTCTCTCCTTACCCCACTGGGCACCAGGCACCTCTTTCTTAGGCTGAGGGGCCCCTGGGGAAGGCACAGGCAGAATAACCTGGGTAGGCTCCAATCCTTGCCCTCTGTCTGCTGAGAATCGGGCTGCTCATGATAGCATTGGGCCGGGAGCTCTCCTCCCCTGGCCCTTGCCCCCCTTTGGACACCTCCTTCCCTCTCTCTCTGTCCCTTTGGCCTTAGCAGCTCTTCTACCCCCTTTCCTCCCTATCTCCTGCTCTTCTCAATAGGGCGCTAGTCCTCCTCCAGCTTGCATGGGTATTCTTCCCTTCTGGGCCATCAGGAATCCTGTCTTCTCTTACTCCAGGACTCCCTCTTCCCCCGGGTACGCCCCCAGCCCCCACTCCCTGCTGTGCCAAGTCCCTGCAGGTGTGCCTGGCCAGTCTCCTCACACTGCACGCTCTCCCTGCAGTGGTCCCTAGTGCGGCGACTCTCATCATTGTGGTGTGTGTGGGTTTCCTGGTGCTCATGGTCATCTTGGGCCTCGTGCGCATCCACTCCCTTCACCGCCGTGTCTCAGGGGCCAGCGGGCCTCCAGAGGCCTCCAGTGACCCCAAGGACCCTGACCTCTTCTGGGATGACTCAGCGCTCACCATTATTGTGAACCCCATGGAGGTGAGTGGCACTGGGAAGTGGGGAAGTCCACAGTCAAGATTCAGCTGGAGCATCTGCATGGCCAGGCCCTGGGCAAAAAGCTTCAGGCTGAGCTCCGTGAGTGGGAAGGAGGAAGGTCTAGAGGGTGTGGGGTAAGGGGCCCGAGGGAGCGTGGTCCCCACAGGAGAGGCTCTGGGGTGTGTGCAGACCACTGAGGTGTGTGCAGACCCCTGAGCCCCGTGCTCTCTGCCCTCTGCCTTATCCAGTCCTACCAGAATCGGCAGGCCTGTGTGGCGGGGGCTGCTGGTGGCCCGCAGGAGGACGAGGACAGCAGTGACTCAGAGGCTGCGGACTCCCCTAGCAGCAACGAGAGACGCATCATTGAGACCCCTCCACACCGCTACTAAGGCTACACCCCTCCCCGAACAGAGAATTCTGCCCTGGTGAGACAGAGACACCCCCAGAAAAGAGACAATGACATTCTGAGAGAAGAGACCAAGAGGGAGAGAGCTCTTCAGAATGAGTCATCCTTTAATCCCCAAATCCCAGTGGTCCTCACTGGGATCTGCCTCCCCCTGCGCCCCCAGCCCACCTCCCTACTGTGCCTCTGGGCTCCTGTTCCCCAGAAGACTCTGGCTGCCTTCTCTGCCCCCAAGGCAGCGGCCCCTTAGCTTGCCCAGGTCTCTGTCTCTCCCCTACCAGCCATGTGCTGCATGGGGGGTGGGGGCGTCACTAGCGGCCAGGGGTGGGATCGAAGGGAACCCTTCCCTACTCTCCTGTCCATGGAGGCCTTCCTTCCCTGGGGCTCCCTCAGCTGGGCCTTCACGGCTTCTCTTCTGTTCCCTCCTCTCTCTCTCTTTCCATTTCACTCCGGGGACCCCTGCTTCTTTACCTTGCCCACTCTCCTTCCTTTTCTCTCCTCTTTCCCCTCTTCTCCTTGCCGTAGGTCCTACAGCCCCTGCCCCATCCTGCGTGACCTGGCTGTGGCTAGGTTGTGGGGATGGCAGGAGGAGTGGCGGGGGGGGGGGACCCAGGTATTATATATAATGTATATTTTTTCATGTCACTGTGAGCGCAGCCCCTGTGTTCTGTGTGCAGCTCACAGCCTCGTGTGTGTGTGTGTGTGTGGCATCGTCATGTCCTGGGGTGAGGGTAGGGGGATGGGTGTGGTGAGGGAGGGGATGCACCCTAGGGTTTTCAAATAAAACAACCAGAAAAAGCTCTGTGAGCTGCCTCCTGCCTGCCTGATCCTGTGTGGGTGCTGCGTAGGTGGCAGCTTCTCCGGGCTCAGGGCCCGTTCAGGTTTCTGAGCAGGGCCAAAGTGAGGGCACAGGGCTGTCAAAGCACCCCCCAGGTAACCTCCAGAATGCAGGCCACTGGGATGTGATACTGTTGGACCCACTGCCTTCTTCCTTCAGCACCCCCTGGAAAAGGATAGATGAGTCCGAATGCCCCGGATGCCTGGGCTTCGGGGAAGACACTTTCAGTCCCTCCCCATCTCTTGGAAATTCTGCCTGTAGCTCCAAGGCACGAGGGCAGGGAACCCTACTATTTGTAACAAGAGAACAGGCTCTGCTTCATGTTTCCCAGGTAGAAAGGAACGGGAACAAGATGGACTCATTTCAGAAGAAGGAACTGTATTGGGAGCATCCTTCTGGTCCCCTCCCTGTCCCAGGAAATACCAGGGATCCACGTCTTAATTCCTTTCTGTCCCGTGAGGAGCTTCGAGCATCAGTGGTTCTCTGTGGTTCTCAGTACCACAGTTGGGTGGAGCTGACGGGCCCAGTCCAGGCTCCATCCAGGGCCCAGTCTGACTCCTGCCGGGTACCCTGACCTGACCCATGGCTTCGTCTACCAGCTGCGTGTTGATGCCTCCTCCTGTGTGTCTCCCTCCCACACCTCTTTCCGCACCCCTGTGTACAGCTACACAGTGTTGTCTCCACCCAGGCAGCTGGTGCCTCGAAGCCACCCTTTGCCCGATTTCTGCTCTTTTTACTCCCTGTTGCCTATCTGTTTCCCCTTTAGTGAAGGTACCGAAGCCAGAAGCCTGGGAGTCCATCTCTATTTCTCCCTCTCCCTTCCATGTCCAAATGGTGACTAGACCCTGTCAATTTTACCCCTTAAAATCTCTCAAATGTGTCTTTCTTTCTCTTTCCCTTACTGCTGCTGCTTTCTTAGTTCATACTTCTTCAAGATAGGCCTGTTGCCTGTCTTTTGCAAGAGCCTCCCTCCTACCTGCCCCCTCCTACCTGTTCTGCTTGCCTCGGGGTGTCTTGCTCTTCTCCAGCCAAACTCTGGGTCTGAGTGACCTTTCTAAAGTGCAACTCTGGTTACGACACTCTCCTATCGAGAGCCGTCCGGCTTCCCTATCTCTGCCAAGGTCAAGACCTGACACCGTGGGAGGTCCTCTAAGGTCAGGCCCCGCTTCCCTCTCTCCCCGGCTCTGTCTGCCCGCCACCCCTGTGCACCTGGGCTCCAGTCGCACAAACCACTGGCTCTTCTCCAAGCTCACCCTGCTCTTCCTGTGCCTCCATGTCTTTGCATGTACTCTTCCCCCGTGCCTAGCACTCCCTTTGCCCTTTGTGCGCCTCGCAGTCTTCCACGTATCACTGAGTTCGAATATTGCCTCTTGCAGGAAGTCTGCGCTCTGGCGCCCCTTGATCGCGCCTCCACCACAGCACCTCCTCCTAGGCTGTGGCACGTGTCTGTCTCTACCACCTGGTCTGCTGTATCCTCAGCAGCTCGCACGGTGCCTGGCCCACGGCAGGAGCTCCGTGAATAATGAGAGAGGTGATACGTGTGGCTCTCAGACTGAGAGAAGACTTTATTAGCAAGAGGAGAGGGGCTCTGGTAGCCTCTGGCCTGGGGGCGGGGGTCAGTGCACAGAGCACCCAGCAGAGGCCCCCCCCAGCAGCCTCTCTTGTAGCTGGGTACTCCTAGATGCCAAGCTGATGGTTCCAGGTCTGTGGGAATACCAAGAGGGAGGCACCCCTACCTGTTCAATCGTGAGTCCCTCAGAAGCTCAGGTGATGGCTCCATAGGTAGAGACTTCAGACATCTGAGAGCCTTTGCTCTCAAAGGGGTATGAGAGAGTTTTTAGTGAGTTACCTCCTCTCCTCCCTCTTGCCATCCCTTCCAGTCCTCACCTGGCTCTGGTCTCAGGGATTACAGCTTCCCACTCAGTGGAGCCCACTGTTCTTGTGTTGGCCCTTGGAGCCCCTGCAGTGTGGCTGAGACTTGGGATCTTTATTCACATCTGGCTCAAGCCCTGGCTCTAGGGAGCAGGTGACAACCTTGCTGTGAGGTTGTCTCTGGCCGCCCCCCCACCTGCCCTTGACGTACATACACCTGCAGCATTCAGCATTCAGATCAAGTGGCGGCATAGAGTCTTTCTCTTACCATCTGCCCAAACCTTGCCTGACTCTTGGTCTTCCTGGATCATGTCTCGGGGACCAAATAGGGGTCTCTTCTGAAATGTGTCATTCTGCATTTGTTTCCTGGAGACTCTCTCCACAATTAGAACCACTGATCACCAATTAGGTCTTTTAGGTGTAAGCTTTCCTGTCTCTCCTCTTCACCCTCCCTCAGTGTCTGACACTCCAGATCTCAGCCCTTGGTGACCACTATCTCCCTCTATAACAATTGGGCAGGTAGATGTGTCATGTGGGCTGAGGGTAGAAGTAGGAGCCTAGAGGCCTAGAGAAGACCATGAACTCCTTGGGCCATCACCTGCCCCAAACTGTTGCTCTTGCTTGCTGGCCCGCCCTCCTTCTCGCAATCTCTTTGTCCCTATCTCTTTGTCCTCTCTCTCTCCTCTCCACTTCCCCACTTCACACACACACACACACACACACACACACACACACACACACGAGAAATAGGGATTGGGAGTGAGGCAGGATGCCAACTACAATCATGCAGAGAAAGGGCACCAGGCAGGAGTCCAAATGGGTTTTTATTTTTGTTGCTCAAGATCTCCTAGAAGGGTGCTCTCTAACCTCCCTCACAGCAGCTGGTAAAGCCTCAGGATGCCAGGCCTTGGACAGGGTTTCCAATTTACCTATTCTCACGTTAATTAGAAACAGCAAACACATCTCCCTTGGCCTAACGCAGATCTTTCCTTCGGCATTGGGAGGCTGTTTTCCCCTTAGGTCCATTCTCTGCAGTGTAAATTGATTAGCTTGCTGAAAGGTGCATGATGAAAAACTATGCCCTTGGGAAAAGCCATGTTGTCACCACCAGTTGAAGAATAGAGTGTGTCCTTCTTCCTGTTCCCAGACCTGAGACCTGAAAACTCACCTATGCCTTCTGGGCAGGTGGATGCAGACACACGGATGGTGTGTAAGCACAGCACCCTGCCCACTTCAGGAGTCTCTGATTCCCCTCTGCACCCTTCCAGCTGATGCACCCATCAGCGACAATAAGGAAGCCTCCATTTCCCCCCCTACCAACCCCCACTTTGTTGGGGGCTTTGTTGGGGGAGGGCAAGAATGATGAATTTGCTCCGGGTCTTCTAGGACCTATGGAAGATCTCGTGTTCCCTTCGGATTTTAATCTCTACTCCCAAAAGTGTGTCCCCCGGGTCCCCTAGACCCATGACACCTCAGGGCTCCTCTGGACTGTGTGTGGATCCATCTGGTGAGTCCCTTGGACACTGGGGTGTTCCACGGCAGCGTCTGCAAGCATGGACCGAGGATGAGTTTGTGTCTGTTATGTCCCTCTGTGGTACTGTGGGTCCTGCTTTCCTGGACTCCGCCTCCCGGGGGTCCTCTCCTCTCCCAGGGTCCTGCTGAGGGCTCACAGTGAGCTCCCTCCTGGGAGATAGAGCAGGGGAAGGGGATAGAGGAGGAGGGGGGGGACGGGTGAGTCCCAGACGGGGGGGGTGGGGGGGTGGTATGCTTATTTTCACAGAGTTGGTGTCACTGCCACTCCTGCGGCACCACGCTGTCACTCCCTTAAAATACTCGCATCCTACAGGAAAAGGACAGACGAGGGTTTAAGTTTAGCCGCAGTGGGTAGGAGGAGGGGGATAGAGGCTCTGGGATGTGGTGGAGCTGGCTCTGTCAGAAAAGGAGTAGGAACCCCATGGGGCCTGGTGAGGCTTCTAACCCACAAGTATAAGGGAACCTCGGTCCCAAATATCCAGTCTCAAAGACCTCACCCAGAATTTGAAGTTCCCACTCCAACTCGACAGCCCTCTCCCACCTCCCCCATCACATGTGGTCTTTTCTCCTCAAGTGTATGTGGGTGGGATTATGCTGCCCTTTTTCCATGGGCTGCAGTGTGGCTGGCTCTGGAGGGTTGTTAACTGGCCAAAGCAACCTTTGAAAAGACCTCTGATTTTTACTCTGGCCACTGGAAGGGGAGTAGTCTTCCTTCATTCCATAGCACTACAGAGAGGGTAGAGTACAAAAGGCAGTCAAGAGAGGGTAGTGCAACTTCCACCCAACAACTGGGCAAGGGTCCAGGGTACCAGGCCCAAGGTGGCCTTGGGTGGTTCACATTAGCTTGTCTCCTGAAAGTTCAGCAGTCCCCTCACAGACCACTGGGCCAATGAACTTCTACCTCAGGACCCTACTTTTGAACTGCCATCTTGTCATTTTGAGAAAGCCCTAAAGCCCAGAGGAGCACCTCTTGCCAGGGATGGTGGTGAAGAGGAGGGGGTGAGGTGGGCTTTGCTGTCAGGCTCCTGTGTTCAGATCCCAGCAACTTAGGGTCCAGTCTTGGTCTTTAACTTCTCTAAGCTTTAGTTCATCATCTAACAAGGGGGAATTGCTTACTCAAAGAGTTGAATGAGGTTTAAATAAGGTAACTTTTTCTGTAGTAACTCAGAATCAGCATATTACATTAGCTATCATTATCATTAATTATCAGGAGATGGGCAGAGCCATCCCTAGTTCCAGTGGCAATGGGGTCTTTACAAACACAAAATCTTGGCAATGGCAGGATCCCTGAAGTTCCTTTCATCCAAAGCCATCCAAAGCTTGTGGTTTTGAACACATACTTTGGAGGCAGGCACACCTGGGTTTTCTGTCACCTT